CAATGTGGGACTCAAACTCACGAACCGTGAGATCATGACCTGAGTCCAAGTCAGGTGCTCGATGACCGAGCCCCCCAGGTGCCCCCACTACTGTAGTTCTCGTTCCTCCAGGAGGGTCACAGCCCTTCGATGTAATTCCTGAGGATCACTTGTCAGTTTTCATCTTTTAAGATTCAATTGGACCAAACCAACTTAACACCTTCTTCTGTGTCAGAAATGCAAGCAGTGTGACCTGAGCAACAGAGAGTACTCTATAATATAGATACAACATAGAACCAAAATACTTACTTGGGGAACTGGCAGAGACCCGCTTCCTGGTCAGGCTCTCCTGGCTGGCCTTGTCTGAAGCTGAAGAGCCCCTCGTTTGGACCTGCCTCTTTCCTGGGTTCTCATCTGGCTCTGGTGACTTCTCCATCCCGTGGAAATACTTCATGTGATAGTGCAACAGTTTGGCCTTGCGGAAAAATTTTAAACAATCCACAACCTTGCACCTGAACTTGTGATCTAGGTCGACAGCTGGGGCTTTACATGTCACAAAATCATCTGTTTTCTTAAAAGTATTTGTTACTGAAAAACAGAACAGAAACAAAAACAAAGATTCCTCGTGCTTATCCTACTTATGACAATACATGCATTACACACGGCAACAAAAAGTGAAAGAGCAGAAAGCATATGGAGACAGAGACATCAGGCAGCCATCACCTCCCCAGATTACTGTTTGGAAAGAAAGGATACAACTTCAGGATAAATAACAGACACTCAACCAAGATTCATCTTCTGAATGAGAAGATCAACATGTTTTTGTTTGCTTATTAGATCGCTTCTCGGCCTTTTGGCTAAGATCAAGTGTTTGCTTATTAGGCAGCCACACAAGTTCTCAAGGTTGTAGACTGTAGGGAAAGAACAGGAAAAATCCTTAAAAAAAAAAAAATCAGAAACCCAACCCACCAGTACTTAATACTCTTGACTTAGAACAGATTCAAACTTACTACGATCCTAATACTTGTGTGTGTGGACAAAACTAGGGAATATTCTGGTGGGATCTTTTTATAAAACCAAAGGGATCTCACAATGATTTTTGTACAAAGAGAGTGTAACTGTTACAAAAGTTTTTGATATTTTGCTACTATGTACTTTGTTTGAACAAAGGGACTCAGTAAGAAAAAAAAAAAAGATAACCAAATGAGTGGAGCTGAAAGGCATGAGGAGAACTCAGGAGGACTCCATGATCAAATTTAAAGAGGCAAAAACAGTTTGAAATGCGCCCTCTGCCCCAAAAAACAAACAGAAGGCAACAATTTGCCATGTATCAATGACAAAAAATAAAGCTGTAACAAGAAATTCATGTGTGTTGGAAACAGTTTATTGAAGACTCCTTTCATAATGCCTTCACCCCAATGAGAGTAATCCCCTTAAATTCAAATTTTCCTACACTCTTGATTAGGTCACCCAAGAATATCCTAAAAAGACTTTTCTTGGGTGAATCAAATATTTCCCAAATACAATGATACAATTTCCATTAGAAGCAGATAGTATACTGAACCTTTGGTAAATATTAGGATTACATTTTCAAATACCATTCCACAATCAGAAGAAATAAAATTCTTAAACTCAATCTAAATCAAGTCAACATTTCCAAATCAGCACTAGGGTAAGATTACAAAACTGGTACGTTTGATGATCTGATGGATGCCACTATACAGGCATTTTAAACAAGTTAAAAAAAAAAAAATACACATACACACACACATCCTAAAGCAGAATGCCTTAAAATCACTTTCTATCTATGACAAGAGATAAAACAAAGAGGTTCAAATCAATAAGATGCAGTTAAGAGAAGAAAACTAACATGAAACCAAATGGAATACATACTTAGAAACATGGGTGTACTGAAAAAGCATGTCAGTGGAGAAATTCAAAACTCAAACCTCCAGGGGCACCTGAGTAGCTCAGTTGGTTAAGCGTCTGACTCTTGATTTCAGCTCAGGTCATGATCTCAGGGTGGTGAGATTGAGCCCCACATTGGGCTCCACACTAAGCAAGGAGCCTAAGATTCTCTCTCCCTCTCCTTCTGCCCCTCCCACCGCTCACACACACTCATTCTAAAAACAACAACAAAAACCACCTCAAACCTCCAATACATCCTAAAATTATTTCTTAAATTACAAGTGGTTTCTCTGGAATTTCCTCCTCTTGAGCCTATTAAGCTGAACCATATGAATTTGCCATTTTTATAGATTAATAAAATTAAATATTGGCTATTTCATATGGTTCAGCCTAATAATTCCTTTTCCATTTTGACGGTCTCCAAAATCACTGCAGACAACCCCACTAACCATCATATGAATAAGGTAAGGTCCAACGTCAGAGAGCATCAACACCACCTGCCATCTGAGAACTACAGCAGTCAAGCTCAGCTATAGTTAAACTCATGCATCCTTTGGCTTGTGTTTGTAAGCTGTGGTTATTGTGATAAGTTGACTTATAATGGAAAAGAACAATGCCAAAATACAAACATCTTTGAGTTTAAAAAAATATATTAAGGGTTGAAAATAATGAGAACTCCAAACCAATTCCATGAAAAATTACCATTCTCTCTATTCAAACACACTGGACCTTTGTGTACACACCACTGGACATTTGCATAAGGAAAAGACAGGACAGTGGCTAAAAGTGTGGGCTCTGCAGCTGGACAGCCTGGTTCAAATCCTGACTCCTTTACTTACTCCTCCTGCTTCTGCTTCTTCTAGTGCAGGGTGGCGAGATTAAGGGTAACTCCTTCACAGAGCTGTGAGACTTAAATGAATTACATGCAAAGATCCTAGAAAAATGTCTGGCATATACTAAGTGCTCAATAAATATTGGTCCTTACTATTATATAGTATAATTTTAGACTTATAAACAAATGGGACTTATGAACAGCTTTTCAGGAATTAATCTGCTCATAAGCAGGATAGAAGTCCACACCATTCTCAGCCTCACTGAACACTCATGCTAGCGGCAATATGGCATAATGGAATCAGCTCAACTTTAAATTCCAGCTCTTTCATTAGCTGTATAAATAAATTGTACATATTTTTCAAACTATTTCGGATTTGGTTTCTCATCTATGAAAGGGAATATATACCACCTATTTCAAAGAGATGAGAGAAGGCTGTAACATATATATATATATGTGCTTGGCACAAAGCAGTTCATTTCAAATATTAAATACATCTTGGTAAACAAGCTTATGTCATTTATGGAATGAGGCTGGAGACAGCAATTATAATTACCAACCAAAGTGAAAACAGCCCTCATAAGCTCTGGCTGAGGACATATCACTCTGTAAGCACTCCCATTTTTCTGCATCCTTCTACAAATGTGAAATCCAAATGAACCACAAGAATCCTAGTCTGGCCACTCAGTAGGATTATTACCCCCACCTTTCAGAACATCTTACTTTTACAAACATAGACAAAGGGTTTTTGGTTTTGTTTTTTTAAATAGTCACATTACATGGTACTGGAAAGTACCAGCTTAGTCCACCAAAATCCTGAACTATGTGCTGTCTGCCTTTTTTTTTTTTTTTTTTT